ATCTTTTGGATGATTTCTCAACCTTTTCTTAGTTCTATGGTCTTTGTCAATGGGCTAAGTCGACATCGTCCAAAGATGAAAAAGAGTCTTTTGGATGATTTCGCAACCTTTTGAATTTCAGTTCGTTATATGAAGGTTGCGGGACCTGCGCGCGATTGTGTAATAGTTCGATTATAATGGGAGTTAAATAGAAGTCCTTTTTTCGTAGGGCGTTGGACAGTGAATTTATTGGGGTTACAGCGGGTATTTCCAGGGATGGTGACAAGTAATGCAATTGAAGGTGTGAATTTCGTGTTTAAGCAGTTAACTGAGTGGCGAACAGTTACACTTGATCGTCTGGTTTTGGTTTTCAATAAACTTCAAGAGTTTTATGCGGTTGAAACATATCGGGGTTATTGTCATCTAGGTAGGCTCCTTTTAAAGGCTAGATTTTTCGAGTTTGAAGTGTTCTACATTTTTGATGACTTTAGGTGATTATCGATTGAGAGCGGAGTTCATGAATTTGACCATGGATAAATCTATTTTATCAACACTCGAATTCGTTGATCCAAAGGAAATTATTGAAAATATCAAACGATTTGATTGCAACATTAACAATGATTCACCTGTAGAAGAAGAGAAACCAAAACCGTTGACCTCGTATCAATTATCTCGAATATTTATCAATGATAATTGTGTTAAATTTGATGTTGATACTGGTATTTATTGCATAACACAATCTGTTCTATTTGTACAATGTCTCTCATTTTCCGACCTGAAGGTGTTTGGATCGTTGAAAATAAAGCCAGAAATGAGGCTCATATGGTCGATTTAAAAAGTGTCGATAAAGATAATCATCTGGTCCCATCGTGCACATGTCAATTTTCCAAAACGAACAAAAAAGGGGATTGTTGCCACATTATGGCAACAAAACAAACGTTTAAAGCGAAAATTGTGCAACCAAAACCAAATTTGCAGCAATTACGGCAATCTGCGAAACGTGAAATTGGTATAAAAAAGTCAGGTACAAAAAAGCCGACTCAATTGGATAAACAAAAGGTAATTATACTATATCCTCATTGCTTCCATCGATTTCTCCTCCTCTTTTTACTTATAGCCGTCAAGTGTCGAAAACTCGGCGAAAATTGTCACGAGGAAATTGAACCAAAGACCGAAAATTCCTCAAGTACATCTTAAAATTATAAAATTTCTCTCTAAGGGGATGAACATTTTCCATTATATTTTAGATTCGAAAACCATTGGCTAATCTGATGAATCTAATGGAAGATGATGACAATATAGAAATTTTTTGAAAATGAAGAACCTTTTCCTTTTTCAAAGAAAATACTTCCTGAATATTGAATTTTCTTGAAAGTGTACAGTTGCTGAGGTTAATATTTCTGCCGATGTCAAGTATCAAACTAGAGTATCATACATCCTCTAACATATATATCGGACTAAAAATACCTGATCATAAATTGTATGGCAGCGTTCACTTCAACTATGGGCTACGTCTATTAAAAGCACATACAGTATTTTGAACAAGACTTGTCGACTTGTCACCATCTTCGGAAAAACCCGCTGTAACCCCAATAAATTCACTGTCCAACGCCTTGTGAAAAACAGGATTTCTATTTCATCCCCAAAATAATCGAACTATTAAACAATGGCGGGCAGCTCCCTCAATCTCCATATAAAGAACTGAAATTCAAAAGGTTGCGAAATCATCCAAAAGATTCTTTTTTTCATCCTTGGACGATGTCGACTTGGACCATTGACAAAGACCGTAGAACTAAGAAAAGGTTAAGAAATCAACCAGAGTCAAAGATTTTCCCAAAATCCTTTCTGAGATGATTCTTAAAAATCTAAAAATACCATAAGACCATCAGCTTCTAAGATAGAAACCTGATTCAAATGCCATTCGATTGAACACATCGAGATATCGTATGTGTAACTACTTTCATCGTTCTACGATCATCCTGGAGGTCACGGCGAATTTTCTTGTTTTTCTAGCCATTTTGCCTGCTAGAAATAAAGGTCTCCAATATTTTGTATAAACAAAGCAAACTGTAAGTGGACAGTTGTTCAGGAAGCTAAATTGTACAAGAAAGAATCGATTCCAGACCGATAGCTCATCAAAGTTGAAGTTAGTATTTTTTGCCAAAATGGCTTGAAAAACTAGAAAATTCGCAGTGACCTCCACGATGATCGTAGAACGATGAAATTAATTATACATATACATCTCAATGTGTTCTATCGAATGGCATTTGAATCAGGTTTCTATGTAAAAAGCTGAAGATCTTATAGTATTTTTAGATTTTTAAGAATCACCTCAGAAAGGCTTTTTGGGAAGTTTCTACATGAAAAATTTCGCAAACCCATTTATTCTTTTAGTTTTTAATTGCCTATCCGATGGCGTTTGAACGAAGTCTCTATCACTTACCTGAGCTGAGTTATTTTAAATTTAAAAAAGTTAAATTTTGAAAATTTGAAATTCAATTTAAAAATTGAAATGTTCAGTTTCGAGGCTTCATTTTCTTTTCAAAATATTTGTCTTTCGACGCTGAAGCCAGATATGTTATTAAAAAACTTTATTGTCGCTCAGTTTTTCTAAAAGCGCATTTTAAGAATTGCGAGTAACTCAAAAGCCATTATTTTTTCGAAACCCTACTTCCGAGGATTTTGAAGAAAACTTTCTAAATCGTAGGAAATAATTCCAATTTTATTTTGTATCGAAAAGAAAATTTTCACGGTTCATGTAGACTTGAACCACTGATATTCCACAGAAGAGGGGTTTATGTTTAAAGGGTCAGTTTAGTTTCCGATTGTATACGTTTACTAGGTTTAAGTCGACTTAAATCGTTGCACGTTGTG